TTCATCCCCATTTGCTGAAGAGAGCGCATTCTTCATAGATCAGGCTGCGGTGTTGTGTCCAGGTGGCTGAGAAGAGTTTCTCAATCTAAATAAACCAACAGAACATACCTATTCTGTGCACGTTAATAGTCAGGATTGCTAATAATCAATTACTTGTTTCAATTTATAAAATTTAAAAAGATAGACAGTTGCAGAATGGTTGAGGTTGGATGGGACCTCTGGAGACCGTTTAGTCCAACCCTCCCTGCTCAGAATTGGGTCACCTAGACCAGGTTGCTCAGGACTGTGTCCAGTTGGTTTTTTTTGCACAACCAACTCTGAGGAAACAAGCCCAGCTCTCTCAGCCTTTCTTTGTACAACAGATGCTCCAATCTCTTAATTATTTTCATGGCCCTTCGCTGGACTCACTCCAGTGTGTCTATGTCTTTTTTATACTGAGGAGTCTGTGTCCATATCTTGAAAGGTATGGGTCAGAGGCATAAATTACAAAATGCATCTTAGTATGAACCACCATGCCCATCCCCTCCTTTGGCAAAGCTGCCATGTGTCTCCCTGAGAGTGTCCCCGCGAGGGAGTGTGTGCAGTGCTCCCTGCTCTCTGCTCCCAGTGCAGTGGAGCCAACGAGGGACCCTTCCTCTGTGCGTGGTGATGTTGGCAGCAGATTAAATGAACTGCAGGCATGAGAGCTTACTGAGAACTGCAAGACGTGCCGAGGCATCACTGCAAGAAGTTGAGCTTACACCTTCTTAAGTGTAACCTGAACATGTTAGATATGAAAATTCTAGGTAGATGATGATAAAGATGGAAGATGCTTGCTAGCATAAAACTGTGCTCTACTGAAGCACGGATAGAGACGAACGAGAAACCCTCGCCTATTTTATGATAGAAAATAAAGCTAGAAGATCTTTTTTGGGATTCCTCTGGACTAAAAAGCCATAAACTATTAGAGTCATTTTCCAAATCAGAACCAATCTGAGCATTTTCATATCCTCCTGAAGGCAATAGGCTCTTGCTGTAAAAATTTTGCCAAAGTTTGATCAGTCTGATCTTCTTGAAATTCTTTGATCTGAGCTGCCAGTTTTTATTCCCAGCTTTCTCCATTAAGATGTCTTAAGCATGAAGGTTTTTGAGATGTTAGGGCCAGCAGTGGTGTTCTGTGAATGTTAAGATGACTCTTACTAGGTATGATTTTATTTTATTTTTTAAATTCCAATGAGCAGTCGGCATGTAGTGGCATGTAAGACTGTATCTGCAAAGATTCTGCATGAGAGCTGGGTGGCTTACTAAAACGCTTGATGTTTAGGGGAAAATAGTGTTTCTGCTGGAAACCAAGCAGCCTCTTGAACCTGCTTTAGTTCCTTAGCTTGCTTTATGTTGTGGGAGTGAGCTATGTTAAGCAGACATAAGCTAGTGAGGCCTCCTTCACCCAGGGGAGCTCTGCTGTGCAATGCTGTGGGCTCCTCCGAATCCCATTAGAAGCGATGGGGGAACGTTCTGGTTAAAGAGGCTAGAGAGAGAGAAGAGCAAAAGGCTGATTTCTTCAAAGAAATATGAAGAATAACTAACCAACAAGGAAACCCAAGTCATTGGGAGAACCCAGTATTCACCTGCGGGCCTGTAGCAGCAGCAGCAGCAAACGTCTTCTCCTCATTTTCTCTTACTCCTTTCTTTCACTCTTTGAGCTGGGAAGCTGATGAGAGTGGAGGAGGAAGAGTCTTCAAAGTGGATGTGGTGTCAGATCTCTCTGAACTTACCGTTGCCCATTACAATGGGGAAGGTAAACGGGCATGTCAGAACAGGAGAATCCCCTGGGCATGATCCCTTTTAACTCCCTTTGAGGCAGGGAGCAGAGCATTCCCTCTCTATTTTTTTTGCTGCTCAGGATAGATGCACCGAGCCTTTCTGGAAGTTTATGGCTTGACACATGTCCATCTACATAGGTAAAAAAAAAGGAAGTGGGGCCTCAGCACCAGCACTCTCGGAAGAGAAGTGTGTTTGCAGCGTTCTTTCACTCATTTACTTATAGGAGCTCCTGCAAGCTAATTCAATGTAGATATCTTCCCTTTCTCAGATGTTTCAAAGCACGGAACTGTTGGTGTCTGAGTCGGACATTAAGGATAGGGCTTTAAAAAAATAGCATTTTTCATTTGGAAATTTTCCTTAATTCCTGTTCCTGTCGAGTGTGATGGAAAGTAAGAAGAGGGAGATGACCCTGGGACTGCACTGTTGCCTGGTGAGTGACCTTGGGCAATTTACTTAAGCTCGGTTTTCTCACCTATAGAATGAGAAAAATGATACTTTGAAATCTACTTTAAAAAAATTATATCAGAGCTAGTTATTGCTGAACTACTACTTTTGTATGAAGAGGAACTCTGTAGTATAGCAGGAAGCTTTCTGGATACTTAAAACTTAGCAGAGAGAAGGCGATCTTTAAAAATGGGTTATTTATAAGATCTTTAAATTAAGGCAACAGGGAAAAAATTAGAGTGCTGTTAACTTTTTCTTTTGCTCCTTTCTTCCTCCACCACCCCCCTGGTGTTTACTTTTCAGCGTGGTGTTGAAGTGGGTTTTGCCTTTGTCTATCATCAGTTCAGCCCCAAGTTCTCCAGTGCTCCAGCTGAAACCACTGCAGAGGTCTCTGTTTGTTCCAAAACAACTGTTTCCCCTGGGATTTTTGCTTTAAAGGAAGAGGAATGTATTGGCTCTTCTAGCATGCTGTGAAAGCTTATTTTTTACAAAAATCTATAATTTCAGTCAAATTTGAGACGACAATGCCAGCGGTAAAAGTTGCGACAAGAAATGACAGAAAACAGACGATTGTAAGTTGAAGTTGATGGTCGCGTCATATTCAAAGTGGCATGGAAGAGACTTCATAGCAAAGGAATGCTGCCCAAAATTCATGGCACCTGCTAATCACTCAACAGGTGGTGTTTATACCAAATTTGAGAGTGGCCAACTAGTATGATCCTATCATGAGCCTGGCAATAGTTGTATTTTGCTAGAACTCATGCTTCTGAAGCCAAGATGGTACGTGATAATCTTATCTTTTATTAAATCATGAGGTCTCAAAGCTTTGGGAAGGAAATTGAAAACTGGAACCCCAAAGACTCAAAAAACCCAAAAGAAAGTAGGAAAAAAGCACCTCTTCTGTCCCCCATTTAAATGGCCTACTTAGTAAGGTACTCTAATAACCTTCAAGGGACCCAAAGGATTATTTTTAACGCTCAGGGCTTTCTGTCTGGGAATTTGTGCGCAAGTATGTCATTCCATTAAAAAGCAATTATTTGCTTTCTTCCCTCTCAACTTTTCTCTGTGTATGGGATAAAGCTAGTCTGCCCTGCTAAGGATGATGGGTATGCATTTTCTCACTGAGATCTATGTCCTCAAATATCAGGAGCAGGGGTAGTCATTCCCTATATGGTAAACCCTGTGTTCCACTCTTGATTGCAAATGGATCCGATAAGGGGCATCTGTTTCTTTGGACAAACTGTAATTCATTCATACTCATTCATACTGGTGCTGACTAGTAACTGATTCTACAGTGAGAGCTGCTCTTTTACTCCTTTTCCACTGCAAAGTATACCTCAAGATGACATAGTTAGCTCTTGGAAGATCATCCCAGTGTGGCAGTGTCAAGTTGAAGTTTTCTTCCAGATACTTAGACTTCTCTAAGTGCGTTTTGGTTCGGCAGCAGCAGATAGGCAGCTACCTCGAGGACAGCATGCGGAGCATATTTTCTCAGGCAGTACTCCTGATGGATGTTCAAGGATCAATCTAGTTCTCTGTCAAGGGGATTTCTTCCAGCATTATCCTGGTGAGATGATGTGAGGTACTCCAGCCAGGAAATGTTGGGATAAAATCCTTCATACCATCAGAATAGCTATGGGGCAGTTCCTCTTCAGCCCTATTCCTTATGTCAGTCAGTTGTGGCATCCCCCATGCCAAACTGCTGAGTCTAGTGAAAGAGAGATAGTACAACAAGCACAGCAGCTTCACAGCAGCTTTGGCAGGACCAAAGGACGCACAAGTTTACACCTGTAGCTGGTGATACTCCATTGTTTGTCTGGGAGGGACTGGACGCTTCTTCCACGTCTAAGGAGATGACAGTGTACGTGCCTGAGAAATACAGATGGAGACCATGTCCTTCACATCCTGGCATCACTGAGGCCATTTGAGCGCACACTGTTGTGAGAAGTAATTGGGAGGCTGGCCCAGCTGGTTTTGGGGGTTTCGTTTCTTAAGCTGCCTCTAAGCAGCAGAGCCTCCGTTATTGAGTCTGTGGCGCGTAGTGAGGAGGGAGGTGGTTGGCGAGGTAGGAGGCACTGACGGACTGACTCCTCTGCCTGTACTGAAGCCCAGGAGAGCTGGACTTACTGGCGGAGTCGATGGGGTGGCTGTTACTGGGAAGGCCTGAGTGGCCCTTCCAGCAGCAGCTGTCTCCATGTCCCCCTCGTCCCATCCCCCACCCAAAGGATCAGTCCTGCAGTTAAGGCCAAACACCAGTGATGCATATTTTGCCCACATCTTTGAAATGTCTCTAGTTGTTCCACAGTCAGAGAATGGCCTAGTGTTTTGATGAAGCAGGACGTCATCTGCCTAACTAGCGGTTCCTGTTAGACACTGTATTTGTAAAGCTAATCTCATTTTCTTCCACACCTTGTCTCATGATAAGGTCCCCCCGTGGCTTTTATTGTGCAGAAGATTAGAAAAAACATGCAGGTATTTACCTTGCCGTTTCCTTTCCTCAGGTAGTGATGCTGGTTACATGTTGTGGACTAGCTCAAAGATAAGCCCTGCTATTTGGTAGTTGACTGAATGGCAGAGCTCTTATGCTCTCCAGTAAGTATATGCACAGTGTGGAATGTTTGACTGCAATAAGGATGTTCCTTGTCAGAAGGACATGTTTTCAGTCATAACTCTTGAGTCATCTCAGATAACAGGCTCTTTTAGCAGAAGTGTTATGCTTGTGACAGTGATTGACAAGCCTGGATTTTGTCCTCAGGGTTCCAGACACTCATGAAGATCCTGGGTATGACCTGTGGATGCTGTCACTGAAGAAAGGAAAAATTAGGGGTGAGCATCATTATCTATTCCTATTAAAGTTTGGCCAGCTATTTTAGAATTAAGCATCTAATTTCATTGCCTGGCCCCCTGAGATGATAATGATAATTATCTTGTGTCCAAATCTGGAAAAGCTGTCACCTTAAAGCTCACTTTCAGACTTAGATTTTCAATAGGTTTCACAAGGAGGACCAAATTTCCAAGTGCTCCAGCTCCCGCTATTTCCATGGTGATGCTCCTGGCTGGAGTTTCAGCAGGGTGCAGCCAGCCAGGATTCTTAGCTTAGTGCCTGTCTGGATGCCCAGCTGTGTTTAAAAAGCCTACCCAAGTGTCAGTGATACCATTAGGAAAGCTTGGGGATAGAGTTGGTTGGGTCACTTCTGCTCCCTGTTCTGACTGATGACAGGAGCAGGTTACAAGGTGCTTGAATGGAGCTTCTTATATAGAGGAAGGCTATACAGCATTGGGGAGGATTTACGGGACAGACAGGGAGAGCTCTTCACCAGGTAATGGTTTTGACCAAGGTCCTATTTGAAGCTTAGGCTCCTTAGCTGTCTTTTTTTTTTGGTGTGGCCAGTTTGCCGGTATACGTGAGGTTACCTCTGTGTAATTTGTTTGTGGGTGTTAAGCAGGGATGTGTCACTCCTTTATAAATTAAAGTATAGTGTGGCTTGCTGGTCTTGGGCAAGTGCCAAAAGAATGTATCACTGGGATGAGGGGGTTATTTCAACGAGCCAGGATTCCCACTTTTGTTGGGGAGTTTGCTGTGTTCAACCAAGACCTGAAAAATGAAATTCCTTTAACCGCCTTCCTCAGCATATGGCTGTTGTATTGAGGCAGATTCATTCTGACCTATCTGCAGGCAGACAGACGGAAATCGTTACAGAAGCACAGAAGTGACTCCTTCCACATGGAAGTATTGCATGCGCTCCACGCATGCGTGCACACATGCACATGTACACATATTGTCCTTTTTTCATCGTTTTTTGGGGGGCACACAATTTTCATATTGCATTTTGGATGTGCTGGCTGGGTAGGTTGCCAGAGAAAAGATGAATCATTAGGAGTGGTTACCAACAATGCAGCATTACATCCCCCTCCTACTGTGTTTTTATTTGACTAGTATGCTGATTGCAAGGCACCGCCTTTTGGTTCTCCCGAGGAACCCATGCAATACTGTCTTAACTTTGTTGTGTGTTAAATGTACAAATTGTTTTATGAATCACTACTCACTTCTCATTCATTCATTTTCTCAACAGAGTGTAAGTTACAGCACTACCTGGTAAATACTTTGCTGTTAGCAAAGAATGTCTCATTTGTGAACACGATCTGGACTCCTTTTAAAACATATGGAGTCTTAAACTGATTTCCTTTGAAGTCCTTTAAAGTCCCTGGATTTTTATAGCCTATAAGAATTAAAAAAAATATTTTTAAAAAACATCAGGATGTATGGAAGTAACTTGCGGTTTCTTTGCAAATGAATAAGCTAAGTAACACGAAATATTTCTTTTTAAAAGTGTATAATAAAAAACAAGGAGAAGTGCACTGCTGCACTAATGATCACAATGGAAGAAAGACTCTTTTTCTCTGCTTTGCTATTGTGAAAACTCTTGGGGCTGATGCATTCTTTAGCTGATGCAGTAGCGTTATTCTGGGTTCCTGCTCACTGCCTACAGCAGTCCCACATGGCTGGGTGCAGAGTAAGTACTGCCTGTGGAGCTGGAACATGAATATGAAGCATGCTAATGCTAGTATCAATTAGACAGTGACCCAGAAATTCTTGGAAGAATGATTTTTCAGCTATATCCTGTCTTCAGGGCTTATAACCCTAAGAGTAGCTCCTCACTGACTCCTAGGTTGAAAGCTGGAACAACTGGGGAATGAGCCAGGGGAAGATGAGGGAAAACAGAATTGAAATGCTGTTCCTGGGAGAAACAAATCATTCGGGTGAAACGGAGCAGCCGTTTCAGTTATAAGTGTGACCAGGTTTATATCCAGCGTTGGGCCAAAATGTCATCTAGACAGATGTACTAGCAGTTTGGTTTCCATAATAGATGTTGTACTTGTGAAAATATTTTAATGACATCTGGGCATTTTACTAGGCCTCAAATTCTTGATGACTTTCCAGGTCATACAACCACCATTTGCATCCTCTGACCTCCCAACCTCTTTCATTCTTTCAAAGTCTTATGAAGAACATTAAACTTGCAGATACAATTATTGTATAATAAAGTATTGATTTCCTAAGGAACCCTTTAACATCTTCTTTCATAATTAGCATTTACAAGGCATCGAGAATTAACCACGTGCAGCCTTACAAATGAATTACAAGGCCCTTTTATTTCTGAAATAAATATCAGTGCCCTGTTGCTGAAAACAGCTGAGCGGATTGTCTAACTTCATTGAACGCTAAAGAATGAAATGTCTAGATGAGACTAGTGCAAAAGCAAAGTTATAAAATGAAGCTTTCATCTTTTAATACTGCACTTCATAATTGCCCTTATTTACCTGTTACTCTCAGCTAGTTGTCATTGTCCTCCTATGTGTATCATAATTTTTTTTCTCTGGTAATTTCTATTTTCTGCAGCAATGGCTCTTCATGAGGGTAGTTCTGGTCAGCGTCAGGCATGAGAGCAAATAAGGCATTTGTTGCTCAATTGGATGTTTTTGATTTTGGCAGTACAAATCTCAGAGGGACAGTATGGCTTAGTTTTAGTCTCTCACAGGAGTAAGCTACCTGGCAGATACTGTCTAATCACAAGCCGTCCTCATCTGAGTGTGTTGTTGTAGGTGAGCTCTGCAATAATCATCAGAGTAGCTCTTTCAAGGACAACCTATTTGTGGCAGTGGTAACAAGTGAGGCGTAAGACAATCAGAGCTGGATTTCATTGCAGATAAATAAGTAACCAGGCACGAGTCCTTAACATATCAGACTCCAGTGTGAGCGTGCATAACATGGACCTAAAGTCTAACTCCTGTGTGCATGGAAATGATGGATTGAGAAGACTCCCGCGTCCGTGACTGCTGCTACCCTGTGTTGCAGTGTGCCTAAGATGGGAGTAGAATGAAAGAGTTTCAATCTTCTCGTTGCTGGTGAGCTTTGCAGCTAGTGAGGGGAGAGTTCATAAACTCCTGTGAATGACTTCTCTGGGCCAAGGCGTCCATCTGCGTGTGCTGCAAGCTCTTCCTCTGGGACGTCTTTCTGCATGTCTGTCTCTAAGGGCTTCCATGAATGTTCAGTACCTGAACCGAGAGAAAAGATAGACCAGGTTTATCCTCTCTTATCCTCCAGCACTTCTTTAATCCCGTGATGGTTCTTATCTGGGGAGCCTCTGTTCGTGCCGATGAGTTTTCCGGGTGTTTCTGGCTTGATTGGATGAGGTTTCCCCTACTTGGAGCAGTTGGGTATATACCAAGGTTTGTAGGTGGCATACAATTCTCCCTTTTTCTGTATAGTCACTTATATAGTGCAGAGTGAAAGGTAACACCTTAGCTCATGTAGCAAACGGTTTCAGTTTTTATCCCAGGCATCCTGTATTGGAGAATAGCACCCAAGGACATTACTCACAGGAAGAGAAGGGGGTTGAGAGAGTCTGGCTGGCTGTGAGAGGAGAATGTGCTCTAAATATTCTCAATCCTCCAAAAGGAAAGAGGCAAAGAGGAAAATTATTTTGCCCTTTGTCTCTAGTAGGGAGTAGGGAATTGTCATGTGAAATCATTATAAAAAAGAGAGAGTTTGGTGCCTCAGTGCCACTGGACTCCCTAGGTCCCTGAAAGCAGAAGGTGTGTGGAGGACCTCTAAGCACTAAATTCAGTTGTGAGCCTTTTCGTGTAAAACAGAGCCAGAGACAGGCAGTACTGCCCACATTAGATATGAGAGAGATTTGAACCCTCCCTCAGAAGGTGGGAAGCTTCATTTCAAAGTCCTGCGCAGCTCACTACATCAGGAGCCTTCACTAGTGTTAAATAGGCTGGAGCTCCCTGCCCCAGGGTAACGCAAGTAAAAACCATGTCTGCAGAGAAGGAGGTAAGAGTGGTGAAGGTGAAGGCAAAATCCAAAAGGAGGGTTATGTGCACTTCTTGGGGCAACGCAACCATGAGAATGGGAAAAGAGGACTAAGAATTTTTCATTTATTAGTAATGCTTTGAGTTTGACTTGTAGTAAAGGGAGGAGGATGTTGAAGAATATCAGGAGAAAGAAATAAAATGACATTAAATGAATTAACTAGCCAAATCTTGCTGTGGGAAAGGGAAGTAATATTATTGTCATTTGACAGATGGGAAACACATCCACCCAGCAGCATAGTAACATCCCCAAGGAAGCCATGGAAAGCCTGGGAATGGATATTCTGCTTTTCTGTCTTGTTTTTTTAATTATCCCCCCC